TATTGCGCGAAAATTCTAAAAATGCTTTAAAAAAAACTATGCCTCATAGCCAACAATAACCAAATCATTGCCATTAGGTACTGATCCTAGAACAAAATATTTACAACGCAAAAAATATTTCACAATTCTCATTCAAAACGACCATTTCGCACAACACGTAGCCGCCGTGGATTCATATGCAAAAAAAGCGCGACTAGCACACACAAACTTTTACGTGCCGGCGCTGTACATATATGCGGCGGAAAAAAATACACGCGTGGGAAAATCCAAAAATATGACTAAGCACCGCAATGCCAACATGAAAAATCGCACTAAATGTTTTGTTGGCATGTTGAAGGTAAAAAACTTTTGTGAACGGACAAGAAAAAGTGTAGAAAATAAAAGCTGTGAAAATTTGGTTGGTCGCTAAAAAAAAAATCGCAGTAACCACATTGGCCGCATGGGGGGAACGCGGCAGACAAATACCTGTAAGTGGAGAGCTGCCACATTTGGATGCGTTAGGGGGAACAGGTGCCATTGCACATACTATGTACATCTGTACATACATACATACATACATACATACATACATACATATGTAACTCAGGAAGATGGACGAGCAGATGCCCGCAGAACGAACAATTTCATTTATTACTGGCATTTACGGCTTGGCATGCTTGATGGGATGTGGGCCAAAAGGGCGCTTGTTTTCTGGGCATATTTTGCGTTTTCCGTGAGGTTGCTCTTGGGCTTAGTAGCCTGGCTGGGTGCATTTAAATACATATCATTGTATATACATACACATCTACGTACATATATACGGGTTTATCAAATTCATGCATATATTTATATGTCTAAGGGTGGTGCGTTTACAATAATTTTCACATTGTTTACACTTATGTAAATAGCAAATAGTTGTAAAATATTGTAAATAATTGTATGCATTTGTAAATTGCATAATTTCCAGTACAATAACTGAGTTTCTACTTGTTGTCTTGTTCTTTTACATACAGTCATCATGTGCTTAACATGAATTCTGCCGGCACTCTCCAAAAAGATATTTGAACTTTCAGGCCAAAAAATATGGAATAAATTTACATAAATCTTTTTGTCGTTTTCGTAGTAAAAAACAGTTTTGAACATGGCAACGCAGACGT